TTACAGTTTCTGAAACTGCTTATCAATAGGCATGGAATCTGATGATGACATACTATTATAATTCCATGAAGAGTGTGAACCGAAACCAGAAGGCTGCAGATATGTTGGGAAAAAAGAATTCACAACAATAAACAATCTGAACAGAATTCAAGCACATTAACGCAAAAAAAAATGGGACAAGTAATCAATAAGAAAATTCTAACACAATTTTTAAAGCATTTGGTGTTGAAACTAGTTGAGATACCATGGCAAAGATCAAATAGATTGAGAATTTTCAGTATCCTGATATTTATACTAAAATATCATGAGTCCTCACCTGTTTAAAATCCACACTCAAGTTATTACTTTTATTGACAACCGGCCACTCCAAAGATGAATTTACAGAACTCTGTAAAGCCTTATTAAAGCCATTTTCCTTGGGCAATGAAGCTTTTCCATGCAAGTATTTTAATTTTTCCACCCGGCGTTTAAACTCGGGCTTCAAAGATTCAAGCTCATCCAATACAGGTCGTGATCTCTGTAATGGGAAAATGATAGACAAGGATAACAAGACCAAAATCAAATATAGGAATAAAAAACTAAAACAAACACCCACACATATACCGTAAAATGTGGCATGGCAATTTCTCACCTTATTATAAGCTGCTCTTTCATTGGGCAGCGAAGCATGATAATCTCGATGATACGGTATAGTTTCAGAAACCAAACTTGAAAAAAGATTATCAAAAATTGGAACAGTGAGGGAAAAAATGAAAATGTTAACTCAAATTAACTGCAATCTAACAAGTCCACCGTAATGAGATTCCAAGAAACTTCCATATTTTACCTTAAAAATCTAACGAGTATAATGTACAAGTCAACTACGTTATTCTCCTCCCTGTAGATACTTGCCTGTGGACAGAACAAAATTCATTAATCACAACAGTAGCAACGTATATACAACAAAGTTCAAACTGCTCTACTTCCACACAAAACTCAGAACTAGTTCTATTGCAGGTTAGCATAATGAAGTTAGCAAACCACAGGTATTCCTAAACAGTTTCGATATTGTGTACTAGGGCACCAAACAAAGCACAAGCACTCACGCAACATACTCAATTCCATCTCTGCCACTAACATGCACATTTCACCGTGATTTGTCATTATTCATTTTTTGCTCTATAATTTTATATCGATTTTATAACAGTTTGATGAGACAAGCTACAAGATGAACAAGTTCCGGTCGCATAAAAACATCTTAATTAAGTAATGTATCATTGATGGATAACTAGGGCTAGAAAGGAGAGCCTGTTAAACTGATCCTAAATAGCAAGAATTTGACACACGGTCACAAACACGAGGTGCCGCGAGGATTGAAGTTTCCTCCGCGCAGGAATTCGTAAATTGTAGGTAGCGAAACGCCGATGGAGAGTTTCTAGAAACAAATAAACGAAAGGATCCTATTGCGGCTGGAGAAAGTTCTGGCGACGATAATCTTGCAAAGCCCTAATGTAATGAAGGATGAACGAAAAGCATTTAGAACGGAAATAGAAGGAGCGTTTCACCTGCTTGAGGAGGTTATCGGCAATCCGATAGTAGTGGCGGAGGGGAATGAAATTATCAACGTCGATTTTGCGAGCGATGGAATCTAAGTCGATGGTCATCTTCTCCGGGAAGGAATGCCAGTGCCACACGCTTCTTGCAGGCGATGAACCAAACTCTCTCTCTTGCAAAGAAGGAAGGAAGGAAGGATCAAAGAGCGTATCGTGTGAGTAAAGTCGTTAGATTAAACAGGGAATTTCCAACACGAGAGAAGGACTAGGTTCGACTACTCTTCTCTTTTAGGTCCCAACGTTACACACGACATAATGAGGTAACAAACACAACATCACAATTCTCTATTGCATGTTGTATTCGATCAGTTTGCTTGAGATTAAAGAAAAACCACCATTCCAGTAATTTGTGCAGTTTGGATTATATTTTTAAAACTAACTAACGAAATATATACTTTCATATCATAAAATGAAATTAATATATACATTTTACATCTTTTATCTTTTATATTTGTTTATATATTTAACTAGTATTTTAAGTTATATAGTATAGGAAAAATATTTATTTTCTGTAATTTAAATTGATAAGTAATAATTATTAGTAAGTATTAGTAAACAGAGTTATTTAACCTTTATCGAAGAAGTCTATCAAATCCAATAAAACAGATGATCTAAGATAATTAAAAATATTAAATAGTTTAATATCTTATTGATTTGGATCAACTTTAGAATTTAAACTAATTGTCTTGATTTACCACTTTTTTTTATGTTTTATTTAAGAATAGAACAAATAAAATATTTTGTTTTATTTTCTTGTTTAAATAAAGCAATTAAATTTTTCTTCTAAAATAAAATTTCCTATCAAAATATTAGTTTTAAAATATAAAATTTTAAAATTAAACTTAAAAGACATATTAGTTAAATTATATGTGTATGTACTACGTGTCTTGTAAATATTACTAGATGTGAAATTTTCATTCATTAACTATAAACTTTTAAATTTTAATTTCTTTTAATATTTTCATCCAAACTACTCAAATAATTTTAGATTTATTGAATTACTTTTTAGAATTACCTCATCTAAACAAGCAGTTAAAGTTTTAGTTTAAGTAAATTTAATCTGAATTAAGTCAACTGAATCTAATGATTTGTTTAAATTTGTAATATATGCTTTTATTATTTTTATGATAAAATCAAATAGCTTTTTATTAAATTATAAAAGGCAATTAGCGATAAAATTGGTGTTTATTTCATTTAATGACAAAAGTATGCAGTTTTTAAACAGATTTTTATATTGGATCCAATTTATCTGAAACTATTCAACCTATTCCTAATTATGTTGATTCGGTTTAAATTTCAAATTTTAAAAATATTAAAATCAAATCGTTATTAAACTTTAATTAACAAGTTGTATTTTTAAAATATTAGAAAATAAAATGATAATTGATGACTCGTATCATTAGACATCTCAAATTATAATAAATAATTACTATGAAGTTTATTAGTTTTTAGTAAATTAATTTTAATTCAATTTGATTTAAAAGGACAGAAAGTAGAAAAGTTTTAATAGAATAGAATATGGAAATTGAGAAATTAAAATAGTGGTAAAAAGGATGACTCAGGGTCCTGTCTATACAGAGGTAGCACTTGGATTGGTACATGCAAATATTTTGAGTATCGTGTCAAACAATGCTTCATCAAATGACATCTTGCAAAACTAACAAGTAGATATCATCAAATAAACACAACATGGAAATTTAGTACAGTAATTTTGTCTCTGTTCCTCCTTCGACTCACGTTGTTCTGGCTTTCGAGGTTGCAATGGAACCATAAGCTAATGTGCCACTGTTAGTTGGTGTCACTGGACCGAGTCTAGCCCAACCCCTGAAGCAGCCCAATTGTCCTGGAGGCCCATGGAAACTTTACGGAAAGCCCAGTTGGTTCCCTCCTTCAACCGTTAACCACTTCGTTACATTCAAATGTAAATATAATATTGTATTAATTTATTCAATTAAAAACATTAATAATAACATCCCAAATTTGTAATAATATTAATAATATTATAGGATTAATCACATATTTAATAAAATTAGAATAGTAAGATATATGTAATGGGAAATTGTTTACATGCATTCGAAAAGTAAAAACCTAGATAAAAAAACAGAAACTAACTTACTATTTTGTAATAATTGTTTAGATAAATTTGAAGAATTTGTCGTAGTGATCACTTTGGCACTCTCTTATCTTCAAACAAATGATCTAGCATAAAAAAAACCTAGGGAGAAGTAAAAGCTCTAAAGGAAAACATTTTCTAAAGATATGTGTGACTTAAAAGAATAAAACTCGTTTTATAAGGTTTCTATTTATACTTCAAACTTTTTAACATAAAATATTTGAGTCTCATTACTTAGGTCATACTACCAGTTTTAAAAAGATAATATTTGTAGGTTCTTACAATCGTTCCCTTTTGCGAGGGGTTTTTATGTTGAGTGTTAATATAAGCACCAGTGTGATTTTTTGTGTTTTTCTAATACTTTATTTTATTTTTGTTATTCTTTGTTTGTTAAAATTGTTTATCATAAATGTTATGGATGTTTATTGTGAATCCGTGATGTCTCATGGATTATAACATGATTGTGAAATGATGTACGTGATGAAAGGAATTTCGATGAGAAGTTTCTTGTAATAGTTTCAACAGTGTATATATTGATTTACGCTTTAATAATCATTCAATCTAAAGTAGTAAAGGGTGGAGTATGTGGTGAGAGGAGCATGAGATCCTAGTCTAGGAACTTTACCTTGGTCTAAGACGTTAACAGACTAACATTGTGCGTAGTAGAGTGAAATTCATTGATAATGACTACGCAAAATAGGAGATGTCACAACAAATACATAACTCGTGAGAGCTTGACATCAATACATCTCGATGGTCAAGTCTTTGATGTATATGTCTTAACATTGATTGATATAAATTTGTATTTGTATTAACATCTATATTTTGATTGTATGCATATTTTTTTTATAAATTAACTTACTCTTTTAACTTTGTTTGTTTGAATTTATTTTTTATTTATAATTATCATCTTAATAGTGTGAGTAAATAAAAATATATTTGTTAATCAATTACAAAATAATAATGATACAAAAGGCTAATATTTATATATATAGTAGTGTTATAATTATATGTGAGATAATTATAATAACATTATTATATAATACATATAATGTTATTATAATTATCTCATGTATAATTATAACACTATTTAATTCAAATAAATATTTTAAAGAGAGAATAATACAATACATAATAATTAAAAATAATTTTAATTTTCATATTATTCATAACCAAAACGCTTTGTTATAAAAATGATAAATTAAAAACATGAAAGAAGTAAAATAAAATAAAAAAATAAAATTAAAATATTTAGTGAAATTAAAAAAATAAAAACAAAATAAAAGCACTTGTAGCACCACTCATTTTTAATATTCTCTACGTAGTTTTTCTAATCAAATAAACTTGATTAAATTTTTTTAATATAAATAAAGCAATATGATAAATATAGTAGTTATTGTTACTCAATCATCATTAAATTTTAATTTTAATAATATATATTTATTAAATGCATTAGATATTATTAGAGCAATATTATAAATACCAGACAAAAAAATAAATAAGTTTTCTACAATTGCATCCTTAATTATTTGGAGCCTTGTGCCTGACCCACCCACATGGTTATCTTTGAGTCATTCCATCAATTGAAGATGCATCAAAAGTGTCGCTATTAAAACGGTAAGTAGGTAAGTTTTTGCTATAAATGATTAGCCACTTCTAAGGATGAATCAAAACAAAGGCCAATCCATGAACAACCCTCCAAGAACATAAGCACGTAGTGTGTGTTTTATTTCATGGGGAGAATTGAGGAAGTGACCCATGTGTTTCTTTCTATGGATTTTCTATGGATTTGTAGGGTTGAATGTAAGGAAATACATGTTGTAAAAAATGCTGACAAAATCAAGAGCAATATTTCTTGAGGCGTCACTGTCCTTAAGGATTTATTCGCGGTGTATTGCGCAAGGCCCCAAGGATACAACAGAACTTCTCTCTGAGGATATCAGAACTAGCAAGAATCTCTAAAAAGAGTATAAAATAAACCCAGAATAATTTTAGAAGAGGAAAAGAAGAAAGTAGAGGGAGAAAAGACTCATTTGGTATTGGGAAAAAGCTCTCTATTTATAGAGTTAGGAAAGAATAAAATCAATAAAAGACAATAAAGTTTTCTTTTGCAATAATCTAACATTATTACCAATAATCTAACATTATTACAACAATACACGCTCATGTGACCTAAAAAATACATTTTCAAGAACATCATATTCCTTTATCAAACATCTATCCAACTTTCGCCTCAATGACACTCACACACACAAGTTATCTCATCGTTATTTATGTGAAAATCTTTTACGGTTAATCATAGTGTTAATATAGATTTTTTTAATAATATTTTAGGAGAAAGCAATGAGCGGTTTATTAAATTAGCAAAGCACTTAGCGATAAAAGTTGGGGTGTAGTTCATTTAAGGAACAAAAGTATGGCATTGTGTAAACAGCTTGGGATATTGGATCCAATTTATCGAAACTTTAACCTATTCCTAATTTGTGATTCGGTTGTAAAGTTCAAATTTTTTAAATATTAAAAAATCAAATCGTTTTATTAACCTTTGCTTAACAAGTTGTATTTTTAAAATATTAGAAAATAAAATGAATTGATACTCGTATATTAGACATCTCAATTATAATAAATAATCTGTGAGGTATAGTTTTTTAGTAAATTAATTTTAATTCAATTTGATTTAAAAGGACAGAAAGTAGAAAAGTTTTAATAGAATAGAATATGGAAACTAAGAAATTAAAATAGTGGTAAAAGGATGAGTCAGGGTCCTGTCTATATACAGAGGTAGCACTTGGATTGGTGCATGCAAATATTTTGAGCATCGTGTCAAACAATACTTTATCAAATGACATCTTGCAAAACTAACAAGTAGATATCATCAAATAAACACAACATGGAAAATTAGTACAGTAATTTTGTCTCTGTTCCTCCTTCACGTTGTTCTGGCTTTCGAGGTTGTAATGGGACCACAAGCTAATGTGTCACCGGTAGTTGGTGTCAGTGGGCTGGCTCTAGCCCAATCCCTGAAGCAGCCCAATTGTTCCGGAGGCCCATGAAAACTTTACGGGAAGCCCAGTTGGTTCCCTCCCCTTAACCACTTCGTTACCTTCACATGTAAATATAATATTATATTAATTTATTCAATTAAAAACATTAATAATAACATCCTAAAATAATAAAAAATAATC